AGGCTGGCACCGAGGGGACGGGGTGTGATTGATGATGCCCTGGTGCAGCTTGATCCCCCCCGAGAAGTGCCGGCAGGAGGGGGCCTGTCTGCTGCTGACCGTGTTTGACTATGATGTGCTGGGGGCCAACGACCTGGAGGGCGAAGCCTTCTTCCCCCTGTGCCACCTGCCCGGCCTCGGCAGCGAGGAGGACGAGGCTGACATGGGACGGGTGCCCCAGAGCCGGCTCCCCCTCACCCACCCCAAGCCCACGGGTACGTGGAGCCCCTGCAGGGTGGGGAGGGGGCTGTGGGGAGCAGCTCCCACCATTACCGCCCTCCTCTCTGGCAGATGAGATCCTGCAGCTGCTGGAGTCCAGGAAAAGGGACAAAGAAGCTCAGGCCTTCGTTAAGCTCCGCAAGCAGCGAGCCAAGCAGTCCAAGGAGACAGAGTGAGGAGGGGCAGGAAGATGCCCTGGAAGGAGGGGTCCGGCCAGCCGCACCCCGGGACTTCTGTGGTGTTGAGAACCATCTGCAGGGAGTGTGGGGACAGAGGGGTCCCTGTGCCTGACCCAACTCACCTCCACCTTCGGCATCAACGCTCCCATGAGCCAGGGAGGGTGGGCAGGTGGATTCCGGGGGATTTCTTTGCCTGCCTGGACTAGTAACACTACACGAGGGATGTGGAAGTGTGGCTGTCCCTGTCTGTCCCTCTGGAGCTTGTGACTGCCAGTGCTGCATCTCCTGACCGTGTCCCCAGCCCTCCTGTCTGCAACATGACTGACTCAGGCTGGAGACAGCCATGGCCAAACCTGCCTTCATTTTTTTTTTATTTTTCTTTAATTTTTTAAATTTCTTTTTCCCCTCATTTTCTTGTGGATAAGCCTCTTATTTTACATGAAAAGCCACAAAGCTGATGCGTGGGCTGTGTGCTTTGGGGCAGTGGCCCTGTGCTGGGAGCAGCACAATGGGGTGGGACAAGGCATTTGAGATCTGGTGGGAGCTGCTGAATTTCTCCTTTTTTAAAATGTGCATAGCTGTTGTGTCTGGTTTTGGGTTTTTTGTAATTTTACCACCAATTTTACCTCCTGGAAGCCTGGGATCTTGCAGCAATCAAGAGCATCACAGCCCTGGCAGCCAAACCAGGAGGCATTTTGGGCAGCTGACAGTCCAGGCATGGGGTGCAGGTCCCTGGCATCACTCCCAGCCTGTGCCAGGGACCTGGGTCCCTCTGGAATTGGTGGGAAGCCCTGCAGGGTGTATCCACGTGGGGTGACCCAGTATGACAGCAAAAATGCAATGCAGGTGGTTGTAACAATTTGGTGGGTTTTTTTGAGCTTGTTTTTGCTGCAATTAGTACTAATTACACACCTGGAGCTCCCTCTACCCCCACCCTGCAGGGAGATGGCCGTGTTTGAGCTGCAGCAGGTCCCTGGGAGCTGCCAGGGACCAGGGAATTAAAAGCATCCCCCTCCCGGGTGCCTGAGCACCAGCTGCTCCCTCGGTGGGCAGAGCAGCCGCTGGGTCAGCTCAGGTCAGATCCTGGATGCGGGGGTGGGAAAAGAAAAAAGCTCCTTTGGTGTCTGTGTGACAGAGCCCACAGCAGGAGGGATTAAGGCGCTGCAGGCTCTCAAGGAAGCCATTTGCTGGCTTAGGTTGCAGTGCAGAGAAATAATATTCCAGAGCTGGGTCTGGGAGTGTGGGGACACTGCGGTGGGTGTCATTTCAGCCAGGTCCAGCACCCCGCAGCTCAGCTGGAGCTGGCACCTCACACTTCATTACAAGGTTTACTACACGAGGCTGGAGGTTTGAATATGGTCTCAGCTCATTTTTAGCTGTTTTTATAAAAATCACTGTGTCCCACCTTGCCCTGGGCTGGCACCAGCAGGCGTGTCCCAGGGAGCAGGTGGCACGGGCTGACCTCTCATTTGAGATTGCTTGCACTGTATTATTCAAGGTGTTTTAGCTTCAGTTTTGCTCAGCTCCAGGCACTTGTGTGTGTCTTCTCCCACCCTAAAAGAAATCCCACCTTTTACAGAGAAAGACTAATAAACCTTAATCAGTCAGAGCACAGCTAGCGCCATGGAGGTGGAGAACAGCCCAAGCATTAAAAAATAAGGCTTGAAGCACACAAAAACCAGCTCCTAGCAAATGCAAGAATGATGAGAGGAAGAAATCTCCATCATCATCCTCCTAATCCTGGTCAAGGACCCGACACAGGCAGATGGCCAGAACACAAGAGGGAAGGGGCTGGCATTTAGATCTACTGATTTTATTGTGTTACCAAAAATCTGCAATACAAATGGGCCCATTCAGATTTTTGTTGTGATTGGACTAATGGGAAGTGGTTGATACATCTTTGAAGCATTAATTAGACTAAAATTAACAGGTAATTTTTGGATCCACAGGCTGGGTGTGCTCTTTTGGGTGCCAACACACAAAACACTGTGCAGGCACAGCTCAGCTCTGCCCAGCCTGGCTCCTCCAGGACATAAATCCATGTCCAGACCAAGAATTTGGGTGAGAAATATTTTGATTTGCCACCTCCAAAGGGGTCTCTGCCCCACCTTAGCATTGCATTGATGTTCCCCATCTTTCACTATGCCTCCACCAGGAAAGTGAATTGCAACACCCCGAAAACGGAGGGGAGCTCAGAGTGAAATTACTCTTGGTTGTGTGAAAATTTGCCACAGATCTGTTGTTTTGAAGGCTCCAAAGCCCAGATTTCTCCACCCTCCCAAGGCCCAGAGCAGAGCCTGGGGCTGCACATCCACCCGGGCACGCATGCGCACACACACACGCACACACCGCTTCAGTTTGTAGTTTTTTTCTTAGCAAAAAAATAAAAATTTATTGTCCTCTAAAAAAAAAAAAAAAAAAAAAAAAAAAAAAAAAAAAAATCCATCCTGCCCTTGGAAACTGTGACACAGATTGAGTTCTTTCCAGCCCCACATGCAAATTCACTCTGCCAAGAAAAGAGTCTAAACCAGGTTTCCGACAGCCAAAACACATATTTACAGAGTACGAGAGAACGACAGCTGAAATCACAGTTCTATACATGGAATCAACAACACGTTTTACACCACTGATCACCATTCTGCCAACTTCTACACGGACTAGGGGCGCCTCTGCCCAGTGCCCTTCCTCCTGGGGAAAGCAGGGAAGGGACTGGGCAAGAATTGCCACCAGAAATACTGCAGTGTGTATTATTATTATTTTTTTAAAACGTATACTGTATTTATTTTGTTTTAACATTGGAAGCTACGGAGTGGGGAAGCCCCAGAAATCTCTCCAATGCAGTCACTACTTTGCAGGAATACTTCACCTTTAAAATACTAGATTTTACATCAGTAACATCTATTTTGCTGTTGGCCATCACTCCAAGGATTATAACTCTGGAGGAAAACACTGGTAATATTCTTCCTTCTCAGATAGGGGAAAAGGAGGAAGAGAGGAGGTTCAGAGACTGGTGGAACAGCAAGGGGTGACTGAGTCCATTCAGTGTTATGGGCTTCCTCCCAGGGTAAGGAATTCTCTTCATTGTCTCAGCTGCACAAGCCTTGCCAGTGGCTCAGGTTCAGCTTCAGAGATGAACAAAAGTGTAAAACCCTTCTGCAGGGGATCAGCTGCAGGGACCCCCCCAGGGGAGGGATCTGCTTTAGGAAATGTGCTCCAGCTCTGAGAGCCTTGCCGGGTCCCTCCCGTGCCACAGCAGGCACCTAAGGCTGGAGAGGAGCTCAAAGTGGTCCTGTTAGCCCAAAATGCCAACATCCTGCAGCTCCTGGCTCTCACCTGCAGCTCCAACCCTGCTTGTTGCTCTGGATCTACCCAGGCTCCTGTTGTCCCAAGCCACCTGCTTTGGGTTGGTTTTCCGTAATAATGTACAAGTTTATTGACCTTTAGGATGCTGTGGTTTCACAACACAACCACAACTCCCTTCCCCCAGCTCTCAACTCAGAAGTGTCTGACCTGCCCAATTCATCACCCAGGTCAGCTCTCCTGAAACTCCCAAAAATTTGGGGAGGAAAATGTCATTATGCAAGGACTCTGTGTGAGGGGGCAGGACCCAGACGTGGTCTGGGCTGTTCAGCTGGGCTGCTCCCCCAGGAACCCTGTGTGGAGCCCACTTTTATTTGTTTGAAGCCCCCTCAGCTCTGCTGTGTTACTGTGTGTCCTGTAAAGGGAGTTCCTGCTTCAGAAGGAAGCCTGACAGTACGTGACAGGGGCTGCACTTATTAGCACCAGGTTTATTTCAGCTCTTTTTACACCACACAAAAGCTGATCACAGACTCTCAAGCCTCAACTGCAGTGCTGTGATTATGGTTTGTCCTTCCTGCACGGAGCAGGCAGCAACAACTGCTGGAGTGGGTCAGGAATGCTGCTCCTTCCTCCTGCTCCCACCTCATTTGGTTCAGAAATTGTCTTTAAATGGCCCACCAGAACATTCACAAAATATGCAAAGATGAAGTTCTCTTTTCCATCTGATGCTTAAGAATATAAATTCACATTTCAATATTCCTCTCCTTTTTTTTTTTTAAAGCAGCAAACAAATAGATAGAAACCTAAATTTAGGAAGTGTTTCTTCAAGAACCAGAGGAAAGTGAGAAAATCTATGTGCTTGTGCAAAGAGAGTGCTGAGAGAGGTTGGGGTGGGGGCAAGGGAAGGGTCTAGTGCTAATTCCTTCAGGCTGCTCTGCCATGAGTGCAGTGTGGCAATGGAAAGTTAAATTTTAAGGGCCACAAACAGGTGAAATTCTGAATTCTTTGGTCCTTCAGTATAAGTTTTAAAACAGAGAAACTGTTTTACTCAAAAGGGAAAAACACATTTTCTCTGGCCAGAAATTTTTCCTTGTACCCCAGGGAAACTGGGGGCAAACAGCTCTTTCCCCTTAACCCCCCAAGTCCTGCATCACCCCGTGACTGGAAGTCCCACAGAGACAGCCCAGGCTGAGCTCAGGGGATAAGTTCCATGTGGAGGGATTCCCTGGTGGAGTCACGGAGCTGGTGCTGGACAGATCTGGAAAAAGAGGGTGGGCAAAAGGCAGCATCACCCCTGAGCAGCCCCCAGGGAGGAGCAGAGAAACCCCCATGCTCATAAAAAGTGTTACAAACCATAGCCAAAAACGGGCTGATCAGCTCTGCTGCTTATAAATATTAAAGACCTGATTCAAGAGTTTATTTCCTATGATTTAAGTTAGTTACAAAAAAAAACCTTTTTAGTATTTTTTTTTCTTAATTGGGCTTTTTCCTCCTCCTCCCCCCCACTTTAATTTTTTTTTTATTTTTTATTTTTCCTAAAAAAAAGAGAAATGTTCATGTATTTTAATAAAAGGTCTTTCCTTAAGATCAGACCAAGGCAGATGTGCTGCCCCATGGCACAGACATTCAAAGGCTATAACCAAACAACATAGCCACAATAGTCACTCAACAGTGTCTCTCCATTAAAAAAAATTAAAAAACCTGATGCTAGTTACAATAAAATACACATGGAAAAAAAGCATTTTTACCAAAAAACCCAAAAACAAGTTAATGGGAAAACATAAAAAAGAACTACACAGAGCTGCACTTAAGAGATCATCTGGGAATGCATATTAACCCCTTCCATGGAGAGGAAAGGTGGAATTATGGAAGCAAACCTAATTATGTGTTTGTATTAAATATGAAGCTTTCTGAGAGGCTCTGGTAAAAATTCAGTTTTCCTACAATAGTGGGCAGCTGGAGGTTCCAGTGCTTTTCCAGGTCAGGGAGGGGCAGCACAGGACCATCCCTGTGCAAAATAAAAATGTTTAGTCAACTGAGTGGCCTTTTGGTTGAGATCCCAGCAGGTTACTGCAATCCACCTGATGTAAAAACCCAATGGACATGCTGGTAGGGAAAGTCACAGGAAAGCTCAGCTGCTGGGCAGGTCTGAGCTGGT